AGTCACTTTTTTCTAGGTCAGTTTTTCAGTGTAACACATTTTCTAACAGTGTGGTTGCCCATTGTACTATGTAGTTTAAATTTGCTCTGGAGAAATCTAAGAAATATCAGATGAATGAAATGTGGCTCTATTAGCAGAGAAACAGGGAGACAAAGGAGCAGCGTTGGCTTTTGGCAAAGTTGTCATGTAGGCCTTTTGTTTTATTCACCTCCTTTTCTACCTTCTGTGACACTAAACACCTATAAATTCTTCCTCTCACCCCCTATCGTTGATGGTGATGATGGCATTCATACCAATATCGAAATGACAGCAGCTATGTGGCATAGGGGATACAGCTCCAGGCTTGGAGTCAGGAAGATCTGAGTTCAAATCTAGCCAAAGACACTGACTAGCTGTGTGACCTTGAACAAGTCACTTAACCCCTATTTGCCTCAGTTCCTCACCTATAAAATGGGGACATATTGGAGAAGGAAATGGCAAACCACCCCAGTATCTTTGTGAAGAAAGCCTCATGGACAGTCCATAAAGTTGGACATGACTGAACAACAACAACATAATGAATTAAGATTTGAAAAGTGCTCTACATACATGATCATATTTGTTTTTTCATAGGAGGCCTGTGAATAGGTGACATCAAAAGAGAAAACATGTATAAAATGCTTTGTAAATTAAACAGGGAAACTGAGGCCCGAGAGTAGTGTGTGATTTGAATCCAGCTCTCTCCTCACTCCAGATCTAGCACTCTTTTCCATTACACCACTAAATTTCCTTTCAAAGGATTATAGAATTTAAATATAATTTTTCTCTAATATCCTAGTTTAATAATGAGGAAACTGAGGTCCAAAGGAATTCAGTGGCTTCCACCAGGTCACATGGGTAGTAAGTATCAGAGCTAAGATTCAAACCATTCTGCCTTCAAATCCAGAGCTCTTTCATCTATACCAGATTTCCTCTTGGAATAGTCTTTTCCTAGGACATCCCATAGTACTCTGCTCATACCTTTTCCATGTTCTCATATTCTACTGCGCATTAGTTATGGGTCTCTGTTGCAAACAAATTTCCACATGTGTTCTATGCTACTAGACTGCACGAAGGCAAGGACCTTGTCTTATTGATCTTGCTATTCTCCACAGTGTCTAGTCCAATGCACTTAAATAACCTCTCCTATCTTGTTGTTAAGGAAAGAATCTCTTTACATAAAAATATCTGTTTTCATGTTTACCTAACCAAACATATTGCTCTTAAAGGGAAGACAAACATGTTGAAATTCAGTTGTGCACATGTCACAATATCTCACAGGACAGAATAACAAAAATATCAATGGTAATGTTACTTAACTCATGCCCATTGGTTTCTAAAGCTGAGAATAAAATACTGGTTTATTAGTACCTACAATTAAACTTTAAAAGGCTGTTTTTCACATGTATTAAAAAAAACTTTCCTCCATTTTAAATTAAATGCCTCAAGAAAAAAGATGGTCTACTTTCAAACCCTCATTTATTAATTGCAATGAGCAGATCCTCAGCTTATCTTTTATATCCTTCTCTAGACTCATCATCCAATTAAAATATTAGGATTTTTTTTGGGTGTATGTGTGTAGGGGGTAGGTTGGGAAGTCTAACCCAACAGTATAACTTCCCTACTATAGCTCTCAAATCCCTTTATCCCATCAGATCACATGGTTAAATCTTCATGGTCATGTATATAGAAGCCTTCCCCAATGTGGTGAAAGTGGATTAACTCTGACTTGTTTCAATCTGGCAGGGGACACTTCTTCTCCCCCAACCTTGCACCCCCATGCTAGAAGCCTGGGTATGAGAATGCCCAGAAAGCAATTGCTGCAAGTGAATAATCTGTGTGTGAAAACTGGGTGGTAGGAAGTGTTCTACAAAAAAATCCCAAAATACAGAACTAACCAGCAACCACAAAGCAGAAGAAGTACAAGCAGTTAAGTTCTTGTTGACGTCTTCAGCATATAAGGCTCCATAGAGACACCGTCTGTCTGCAGAATTGTTTTTCATTTGGTCTCAAATTACTTGCTCTCCACAAAAGAAAGAAAAGGCAGTGATGCACAAAATTTTTAATGGCTTCAGAGCCATGCATCTTGCTATACAACTATCCTATTTGCGTGATTTGTTTCACAAACTGGTAGAGCAAAACAGGTCTAAGTAGAAAGACAGATGAATGACAATTATATTTGACTGCTAGAGAAAAGTATAAAGAATGCAAATTACTGTGTCCAATAGATACTGGGATTCCCCTCTTCATTGTGCCTCTCCACCACAGAGATGGAAGTACGATATGGGGCCAAGCAAACAACCACTTCCATCTTCCCACATCAATCTAGCATGTTGCTATTTTATATTCATCACATGATACCACCAGTTTGGAGGGAGAGGACAGAGTAAGAAGGAAACCATGTGGAACAATATCCAAATACCTGGGCAGAGGGTAAGTAACCTCCACAAATACACTAATTAGATATTAGACAGTGGCTCACTAAGAAGAAAAAGATATAGGATTATGGACCCTTCTCTGAGATCATAGGGATTTTAATTCCTCACTGACAAAGTAAGGTACCTAATGGCACTAAGGAAAGTGGTCTAGTTTATTTCCTCTGATGCTATGAGAAATGTGATCTGGCAAATTCTAAGAAAATCTTAAAGCTAGACCCCAGAGATATGTTTAGACTAAATGCAACATGTCATATTTCAATTAGAGAGATCTGGGAGCAAGCTTTGTCCATGAAACAAATATAAAATTCTCATAACAGTAATGATGCCTGAGCAGACCACAACCTCCTGTACCAGTGGAGATTAAAGTAGTCTCCAAATCTCACATTCAGTAGAGTATCCACTTATTCTGCAGGCTTAGGTTATTAAGGGGAAAGTCCGGGTTAAAAGGTAAAGATTACAATGATCAAGTTTAATTATATTAGCTAATGAAAAGCCCTTTCCATGATCATATAAACATCAATTAATTTGAATTGTGCTGAAATTAAGAAGGGAAGAGATTTACTGTGTCTTTTTCTACCTCTCTCTGATATGATCTGATGAGTGAAGAACAACTCAGAATCTGGTGGTAGCCTTAGCTTACAAATATAGGGAAAGACAAGATGTACACTAATTTCCCATCTGTTTCTGTGCAATTGTTCTACCATTTACAAATAAGTCAGCACAGAATCACCTGTTCTTGAATATGGAGAACATATTGACCCAACCAGGTTCCTAATATACTTCCACCTACTTATTAGTATCACATCTGTTATCTAAGATGAATGGCAAACTATCAGCTTTCATCAATATTCACATATCTTTTCCAAGTTCAGTGAATAATATGGTGACTGAACAAATGTGGTTGATATCAGCAGCTTAGTGTCAAAGTATATTAAGGGGCTTAGGATGCCCAGAATTAAGTAGAAAGAAGGTAATACAATGACCCTACCCTGTCCTGTGAAGGCTAATCCCTAAAAGTTCTGAGAGGGGAGAAAAAAAAATGTATCCTCAGACTTTAGAGAGACCTTCTAAATCTGACACAAACAAGTAATTCTCCAAGTATGATGTAATTGCCATGTGGAAAAACAGTAAAGTAAAATCATTCTTCAAGTAATAAAAGTTACCATCCCCCAAAGCTGATTCAAGATATACCAGTCACCTCAACTGAGGATCTAATAGTACCATGTAGGGTTCTGAGGTTGCAGGATGTGGTACCTTAGTTTCACAATTTAGAGCAAGGTTGCTAAGGAAGTATCATGGTGATGTAGATAGGATGAAAATATGCTTTCACATTGTTCACTGTAATGCACTGACATTTTTTCAAACCAGAGAGGATTTAAAGAAGGCCTTGAAAATCCACTTGACACCACTGACACTTAAAGAAACTTTTGATTATGTCTCACAATAAAATGCCTTAGATAAGTCATCTAATTTTTCTGACACTAAATTTCTTTATCTATGAATGAGGGGAAGAAGGGAAATATCATTCTAGTTAAATAAATAAAACAAGCCTAAAGCAGTTTCTCTGAGAGGAAGTGCACTGTAATCTTTAAAGGTCTAGAAAACCTGGTTTTGGGAAGAACTGGATTCAGATCTTGACTCAGATGCTTACTAGGTGTGTGATCTTGGCTTAGTCACTTAGCTTCATGGAATCCTAGTTTCTATGTCTGTAGAATGGAGATAATAATCCTTATAAAACTGACCTAGGTTTGTTGTGCTTAAAGTGCTCTTCAAACCTGAAAGAACTATATGTGTTAATTATTATTATGCCACGCCCCTAGCCCTCAATCTTTCTATTCAGCCTTAGATACATTTTTCCCCTCAAGTCTTAAACTGGTCACAGACAATAGCTCTTACTCAAAAGTGAATTAATATTTATATGTCAGTAAAATAAATATTTTTCCATCATAAAGAAACTGAGTTTATTGTAAATGAAGATTCAATTCAGAAAGAATTAGAATTTCTATAAATAATTATTGGAGAGGAAAGTAAAACAATGCAGAACACTGTCAGATAACCTAATATTACTTACAAATGAGCATAGTATTACTTGATAAAAAGGAATTCATATATCTAATATTTTCAAGATAACTGGTACTACAGAAACTGGGATAATCCTAAGAAATCATACATATGGTTGCAAAAGGCATCTTCATATCAACATCCTGACACACCAACATACACACAATCTGTACGTATGAGCTATTTTGCATTTTCTATCTTAAAATGCAGGTATAAGCATCAGTGAGAAAGCATTTTAAATTCCTTTAGGAAGACTCAACTAGAGAGGTAATTCTATTCAATAAACATTCATTAAGCACCAATGCTAAGGGCTCAGGATAGAAAGACAACATTGACCTGAAGACTTCTCCTACACTGCCCACTTTTTTAATGGGAAGACAACTAACCAGTTTAGGTCAAGAGGTAACTTCAATTTTCTTTATTAAATATTGTTCTAATAGTGAAGAGGATTTGTTTAATTTTCTTTTGGTTTGTTTTGTTTACCTGGGAAGGGCAGTGATTTTCCCCCATTTCTCCACACAGAATCTCCTTGGCCCATTACTCCCTCGCAGAGAAGCAAAGCCTTCATAGGGTATGCTGGATGTGCCTGTGACAAACTGCCAATGAAAGTAAAACAGGATAAGAAAATGAAATATGGTTCAGTGGAAAGGAAAGAAGAATGAACAGTTCTGTTTAAAGGTATTGAGCAAGAGTGGCATGCTGTTTCCTGCTGGCATCGTTCTTAGGCTCTAATTATTATATCGAATGGGGTTTTGGCACAGAATAATCACAGCACAGAAATTCTAACATCCAACCAGAGAAGAATGAAAGATTTGTAATACTAAAGGAGGAGGCAAAATTAAATAAAGGAATATTGGTAAATAGGACTTAAAAAATGGCCTAATGTTAACTACAACCTGCTGGGAGGGAGGACCATCTGCCAAGGCTGTTTTAGCCTCTCACCCTCCTTTGGGAGGAAGGAGAAATGACTGGCCTTGATTCAACCACAGAAAATTAGCAGTTGGTGGATACTATACATCTCGAGAAAGATGACAAGTCAATTGAATCCAGCATTTACTGAGGAAGAGGGAAACATTGCATAGTAGATGGAGAGGTGACCTTGAAATCAGGAAAACTTGGGTTTATGTCCTGCTTCTGCCATATTTGGCTGTATGACCCTGGGCAAAGTCATTTTACTTCTCAGTGCTTTAGACAACTCCCTAAGATGACAAGTTGCAGAGAAGGTACCAACCTGCAATAGGAGAGAAAGTTTCCTCTTCCAAAGAGTTTCCTATATTAACGAAACCACAGATCTGGTCCCTGGACTATTTAGACACATATTTATGTACCTGATGGTTTTAAGACTTGAAAGTCAACAACACTGTATCGATAAGAAGAAGAGCCCGATGGGCATCTATCTCACCTGTAACAGTCTTAGTCGTTGTTCATTGTTGAATCTTTCTACAGCAGCCCAGAACCACCGGATTACAATATGATTGTCATGATATCCTATCAAAGCAAGAGCAAGAAAGAATCTATGTTATTTTAATTCTAATTTAAGCTATGAAGAAACATGTTAAAAAAAACCAAACACCCAAACCTTCAAATACAAATCATCATCTTCAAAAGCAGGACAGTGATTCATAACTCAAACCAGGTAGGCTGCGTGATACCACGAAAAGGATAATGGACTTGGGATCAGAAGACCTGGTTTCAAATCTTGGACTTGCCAGTGGTTTAGCCACATGACCTTCAGTAAACCACAAACTCTTTAGACCTTTGCTTATTCATCTGCTCTACAGGTTCATCTTACCTGGCTACAAGACAGATCTTCTGAAAATCCCTTCAGAAAAAAAAAGAAGAGTGAGCAAGTTTGTCCTCCTACCCACTATTATTACCTGCATTTATGATCAGATCTCTATCTTGGAAAATTCTTCCTCTACCATCATCTGACTGAGCCAGGGAATAAAGAAGGTGGCCCTCAGTCATTCCCTATGCTAGTGTACCTATTTTGGTTCATAAACTTTATAGCATCCTTGGAAAAACTGCTCACCTGCCCTTCTAGAGTGAAAATATTTATAAAATGTACACAGTAACATCAATTTGAACCAGCTTTTACCTCCAACTCCATCACTGTCATATAATGGGGGATATGACTTATTGATTTTTAGTGCAGAGAAAAGCAAGTTGGGGAAGTGTTCTAGTTAGTAAAATACCTTAGTTAACTGAGTTAATTTTAATGATGGAATACCATGTAGAGATCACATGAGGAAAGTGGAAAGTAGTCCATAGGATCATAGATTTATAGCTGGAAGGGACCCTGGAGGTCATCTGGCACAAGCCCTTCATCTTATAGATAAGGAAATTGGCACCCAGAAGGTTAAATGACTTTGCCCAAGGTAACACAGGAGACAGAAAGATAATTTAAATACTGGATCTCTGACTTCAAATCCAAAGCCCTTTCCACTCTTCCACATTGCCTCTCCTAGTTGCTAGAGTATTAAGGCTTAGAGCTTAGAGCTGAAACTTGAAATTGCTTCTGGGAAGTGAGAAAAGATCTTAGCCTAGGATTGGTGTGATGGGATGAAAGAGCCACGAATGGGTAATGAGGTAAAAGGACTGATGGAAGCTAAGCAAAACCTCTAAAGATAGATTGGGGTTTACTGGCTAGATTTCTTTCTTAAGCACCACACTTTAAACCCAGATCACTCTGGCTCTTATTGGTTGGCCAATAATAGATCCAAGGTCAAGCCCCACTTGGTCATTGTTTGGGCCCTGATTGGCTCAGAGTGAATGTAAATAGCAATTGTTTCTGTTTTGCCTAGAAACTCTAAGAGTCTTCCCCTCTCAGTTTGAATTCCTTCCTTCCTTCCTTTCTCTCACTCTCTCTCTCTCTCTCTCTCTCTCTCTCTCTCTCTCTCTCTCTCTTCTCTCTCTCTCTTTCCTCTAAGTAAATAGGCCATTCTCTGCTTCATTTCTTACCCAGACTTAATCACTGAAGGGCAATGCCTCAGTCAAGATCTGTTAAAGACCTTAGCTTAAAAAGACCAAGGTCTCTCACTATCTACATCTTGCCACTGGCCCCAGATGTCTCCACAGTGCCCTTCCTCACTTAAATCCAGTTCATTTGCATGTCATGGCATCACCTCCCTGGTGTCATGGCCTTCTTCAAGAACAAAGGACAAACAACAACAATTGCTTCTAAAGATACCTACTTCTTACCTTAAACCACAGAAGACTAAAGATTTCTAGCTAAGGGGATTAAAATGATTTAGTTTTTACATGAGCTGTCTGTCCCAAAGTGGAATGGGCTGCCTCTAGAGGTGATGAGTTCCCCCTATGTGATGGTCTTCAAGTAGAAGCTGGAGGACCACTAGTTCTGTTATCAATGGGGATTCCCTTCTGGTGGGGTGTGAATGGTACTAGAGAGATGCTTAGGTTTCTTTTGACTCTTAAATTTTGTGATTCTGTGATCCAGAGGCAGCTAATATTTAGGGTTATCTCTAAGACAAAATACTTTAGTAAGTATTTTACAATGGCCCTTTTTCTGGTAATTACTTTTCATTTAGATCGTCTTCTTCCTTTGAATTTATAGAGCTTTCTTGCTATGTAAAAGTTTTGGTAAGGATTTTAGCTTTCCCAAGATTGTATTTAATGCTCAAAAGTCAAGCTTCATAACTTTAACTACTTTTTTTAAAAAAAAACAGGTCTATCTCATTGCAAATGAAATTCTAAGGCATCTGTATGAATTATTTGACTGAAGATTTGAGTAGATGGTTAGAAATACCAATTTCCAAATTATCTATCTATATATCTATAGATATATCTATCTACCTAAATTATCTATTTGGAATATCTGCATAGAAATTCCAAAATATCTGTCTATCTATTTACTTGTCAGTTAATCAACTATCTGTCTGTCTATTTATCTATCCATCATTTATCTGTCTGTCTGTCTGCCTGCCTACCACAAATTAGATAAGTGGAAATGTTGCATCCTGGCAGGGAGGTGCTGGTAAATGTTTAACAACTGGCTTTCAGAAAAAAAAAGTTTAATCTGCATTAACATTTTCCCCATTACTTTCTTAAGTCTAGATAACAATGAGGACAAAAAACCAAAACAAAACAATAAAGCAAGCCCTGATTTGTAGCATTTGCTGACTTCCAAGATATAAATGCTCACAGTAAAAATTGAACAATTTGCTCTTGCAAGCCTGTATAAGCTGCTTCCAGCACATCCCTTTATAGTGGATAAAGACCTGGCCTTGAAGTCAGGAGGACCTGGGTTCAAGTCCTGACTCTGACACAATTCAAGTTCACCTCTCAGTGTTCCCAGACAACTCTCTAAGACTCTGACTGCATTGGGTAGAAGGTGCTTCCAAACAGGGAGTTACCCTTCACAGATGAGATTATAGGTGGAGAGGAAGGAAAAAAAAAGTGTTAGATAACACAGCATTGAGTCAAGGAATAAGTGGCTCTAGGAATCAAGACTTCTTGGTCTGGAGGCTCAAAGGGTGTGGCTCTTAAAGTTCCATAGGAGTGGAGGGAGGGTTGGGCTGGAGGTAGCTGGCTAGTGAACCCTTAGCTTCAAAGCATTTACTTAGTGTTCACATAATCACCAACAATTAATTATGATGACATGCTTGGGTGGTATGTAAATGGCATTTCCCTTGTCTGCCAGATGAGGAAACTAGGGAAAGATGGGAAATGTGACTTGCTCAAGGTCTCATAAAGGATGTTTCAGATCTTTGAGTAGAAACCAGATGTTCTTCTCGGCACAGAATTCAGACCAAAGTGCCAACCCATACCCCTTCCTTTGGTTAAAGGCTTCAAACTCAGCCAGTTTCACCTCCTCTATATTCTGTGTTGTTTCTCCAATCACTTAGGTCTATTTCAGCAGTTCCAGCAATGACCAGTTCCAGTTCCCTTGCATCAAAAACAGATACCAGCCTAGCATCCACCACCTGTGAAAGGAAGAGAGTTCAAGGAGATGAGTCAAGGAAGTCCCTCCTGTGAATGACTTGGCAGAGAAGAATAGCATTGGGAGGAGGAATTTAAGTAAGTGGTGCTGAATATACCTTTTCTATGATAAATTGACCAATAAGCATGTATCACTTATATACACTTATAGATTAACTTATTTATTTTTTATTTTTTTTATATTTTTAGGCAATTAGGGTTAAGTGACTTGCCCAGGGTCACACAGCTAGTAAGTGTCAAGTGTTTGGTCTGAGGCCGGATTTGAACTCAGCTCCTCCTGACTTCAGGGCCGGTGCTCTATCTACTGCGCCACCTACCTGCCCCCTATAGATTAATTTATGTGCAAGTTTTATATGTAAATGTAAGATATAAGGTACAATTTTAATTGCAGCATTGGTGTCTATAACAACAACAACATAATAATAATAAGTAACATTTATACAGCACTTACTATGTGCCAATGATCTCACAATAATCCTGGGAGCTAGGTACAATTATTATCCCTGTTTTACATATGAGGAATCTGAGGCAAACAGAGGCTAGGTCATACAGATAGTAAGTGTCTGAGGATGGATTTGAACTCAGGTTTTCCTAACTCCAGGTCCAGCACTATATCCACTGCTTCACTTAGCTACACCCAGGTATCAACATGTCATAGGATCCTAGGATCATCATTCTAGAGTTGGAAGGGACCTTAGAGGTCATCACACCCTTATTTTAGAGATGAGGAACCTGAGGGTGGAAGTTAAATGACTTGCCCAAAGTCACACATTTGTAAGTGGTGAAGCCAGAATTCAAACTCAAGTTTCAAGACCCCAAGTTTATTTTTCCCCTATTGTACCATACCGCCTTCACTAAAATGTCAAGAGAGCACGGAGAAGGCTCTCCAGGACATTGGTTTCACCTACTCCCCACTACCATTGTGATGAACTAATGGGACAACATGGATGAGAATCTCACAGAGTGGGCAAGCATGGATGGATTGCTATCTCAGACTCATTGTCCTGCATGTAGACATCTCAAACTCAACAGGTCCAAAACAGAACTCATCTTTCCTCCCATACTCTCCACTCTTCTGATCTTCCCCATTACTATTGAGGGAACCACCATCTTCCCACTCACACAGTCTCACAATCTAGGTGTCATTCTCAACTACTCTTTCATATTTACCTATATGTCTAATCAGTTTCCAAGTCTTGTCATTTCTACTTTCAAAACTTCTTTCCTATTGATCCCCCTTTTCCCTAGTCACTAAGGCAACACCCTGGTGTAGGCCCTTGTTATCTCATACTAAACTACCCAATAGTCTTCCGGTTGGTTCCTCTGCCTCAAATCTCTCCCCACTCCAGTCCAACTTCTATTCGACTGTCAAAGTGATCTTCCTAAAGTGTAGGTCTGACTATGTCACTCTCCCGCTCCCCCATTCAATAAACTCCGGTGGCTCCCTATTACCTCTGGTATAAAATTCTTTACAACTTGGCCTCTTTCTACCTCTCTAGTCTTCTTACCCACTTTAGTCTACTTTACATATTCTATAATCCAGCCATGCTGGTTTTCTTTCTGCTTCTGACACTCAACCCAGCATCTCCCAACTCTTCCTTTTTCATTGATTGTCCCCCATGCCTAGACTGCTCTCCATCCTTATCTTTGCCTCCTGGTTTCCTTGGCTAGTAAGACTCAGCTCAAATCCCACCTTCTCTTTCTCAGGCCTTTCTCAGCATCTCTCCTCATGTACTGCTACTGCTTTCCCTCTGACACTATCCTCCATTTTCACTGTATATGTCTTGTGTCTACATGGTTGCTTGCAGAGCTACTGGGGGGTAAGGACTATATTTTTACCTTTCTTTGTATCCCTAGTGTTTAGCACAGTGCCTGGTGCAATGTAAGTATTTAATAAATGTTTATTGACTGACTGTTTTGCTGGAGGGGATACTCACATCTATGAGACCACATATCCATAGAAGTATTAGGGATTTTTAGTTAAAATACTCTTTCTCAGCATCAGAATTTTCCATACTACATCAAAATAATGATTGGTCCAATTTGATTCTGTGTTCTGAAAAGGATCTTAGTGGCTTCTAAGGAAAAAACCTCCTCGAACATATAACTAGCTTGTTCTGACCATTACGTGTGATCATTTCACACCCTCAAGCATGAGATTCGATTACCCATATCTTAGCACGCATGACTTAAAATGATATTAGTGGTCATTAAATCATCAAATCCTATTTAAACTCTAGTCAAAACATTTAACTCAAAGACCTCTTGAACCAGAGAATTCCATGAATTCAACAATCCACCCACCCCACCCCATTTTCTCACAAAAATTATCATATAAGCAGAGTATTCCCCATAAATTAATTTGAATAATCAATGTTTTATGTAAAAAAGAATACTTCATGCAGGTAGAGATAATATGTGACATCTGTAGACACAAAAGATGGATTTTGACATCTGTGGATAGCCATATATGGATTTTTACATCTATACAAACCAAAATTCAAAGCATGCCACCCAAAGACCCAATTTCTTTACCTCATAAAAACCCCGTACTAAGCTCTCTGTTTGTTGTACAACACCCCTCTCAATCCTCCACTTCACCATTCTCTCGATGTATTCTTTCTTGTTCTTCTCTGTGACTGGGATATTGGCACCCCCTGGTTTTAATTCTCGTTCAGTGATCTTGGAATAAATGTATACAATATATATATATGTTTACATAAATATTTTTAATGGAGCCAAAGTATTACACTTTATTTACAAAAGAGACTATTACCAAGAACATGAAAGCATTTTTCCATAATCTGTATAACTGAACATATCTCTGCGGTATAAGAATTGTGTCTTCCATATCTTGTCTATAGGAGACCTTCATCAAATGCTGTGCACATAGCGAGCACCACATGACTGATTATCTGACACCAAGGAGTCTCAGAGTATCAGTACTTATTTCTAATTCTCACAAATTAGGCTGATTTTCTTTGAGGTACTGGCTGTTTGCCATCTGAATGGCTGATTAGGACTTTTCATAAACCCCAATATGGCTTAACATTTATTATGTATTGGTATCTAATGTTTAAATGAGGATTTAACTTTGAGAGTAAAGGATTTATATTCAGATGAGAACCAAGGTTGAAAAGATATTATGAATTCTGGAAAACTAATAAAAAGCTAACAGCAAGGTATATGAATGAAAAAAAAAATCAGAGACCCTGCCCACACTAATGCCTGCAGAACAATATAAACCAATGTCACTGATTCTATTTTGCACATCTGTATTAAAATATTGATTCTATTCATTTCACGACTGCATTTTCCTGTCTGAATAATAGCCAGGTACAAATATATGTTTAGTATGTGGGTTCCATGAAAATGAGGGCCTTAAAAATGTATTAGATACATAGAAAGTAGCTCATAGCAGATATTGTACTTTTGAAAGCAAAGAATAAGAAGGCTCACACAACAACACGTGTAATACGCTGCCACTTAGCTCCTTTCCCTCTGTGATGGCACTGTAGCTATTAGAGATAGACTCTGCAATGAGGAAGTACCTTCACAGAGTAAATGGATACACTCACCTGATTTAGGAATTGTGAAACTCAACCAAAAATAGCCATGCCCGATGTTTGTCCACTGACATAGCTGATCACCTAGCAATAAATTCTAACGAAGCAAATAAAGAATCTGGCTACACTGCTTTAGCATGTGCATACCTGTCCAAAAACTTCTTCATTTACAGTAAAGGTGAGGTCTAGGATGTCATGTATGTCATTGTCTTTCATCCACTGAAGGCTCTGGTGGAACTCCTCATCAAGGTATTCTAGATCACTCAAATCACACAGACTAATGTATCAAAGAGAAAGACGAAGATTGAAAAAATGTTATTAGTAGACACTGACGGACATAGGAAAAAGATGGACTAAGCAACAGTGGTTCCTAGATTTCTGTTATTTAGAGTCTAAAAACCAATCTAGAGGAAAAAAAATAAAGAAATTGTAAAGGTTCTAGAGCTTAAAGATAGTCAGAATTGTAGAGATAGTCCACTGCAATGCCATTATGTTCCGGATGAAGAAACTGAGGCCCAGAGGGGTTCAGTGAAGTACTCTCTCCCAGAGACACTTAAAAGCAAAGTCCCAACTAAAATCCAGGTCCCCTAATGTCCAGTCCGGGGCTATTGCCATTATGCCACACTGCCTGACAATATTGATCTCTCACTTTATAGAGGGACCAAGGGCTGGACCATATCCAGCTAGAGGGCGATGAATCTGGAATGTGGAAAGTAGACTGATAGCAGCAAAGCCATTAGAGCAGATAGGAAGCTAGAATAAAAATCAATTAATTAATAAGCATTTAATGAAAGCCCCCACCTTCAAGCAGTTTACATCCCATGAGGTGAAGGGTGAAGGGCAATATAAGCAGTTGTGGGGGAGGGAGAGGTACGAGCTATTGCGGGGATCAGGAAAGGTCTTATGTAGGAGGTGAAGCCTGGGCCAAGCCCTGAAGGAAACTAGAGAGTCTGAGTGGTAGAAGTAAGAAGTCAGTGGCCTTCAGGCACTGAGATGGGAGATGGAGGGCCAGTCTGGCTGGTGTGAAGGATATTTGAGGAGAATAATAAGCAAGCGATGCTTCATATCTCTTCTGGGAATGTCAGCCCATCTTCACAAAAGAAGCTAGAAGGAAAGGAGAAAATGCTATGTCTTCAATTCAACAATCAATTATCTTTCAAGGCTGTATTTTCCTATTGGGTATTAGAACATTTTTCCAGTGGTCTCTTCTTTTTTTTTTATTGGAAATTATCTTTCTGAGTGTCAGGGATTCACTTTAAAGAAGATGGAAAAGGAGTTGATTGGTGTAGATTTAGAATTGATGGTCAAAGTTGGAGAGGAGTATGGGTAGTGGTAGTCTCTCTGCTAAGATCTCTTCACTTTGTTTCTACTTGTCCCACAGACAGAACAAAATACTGCCTACCCATGCTTGGCCTTGCAATGTACTGCTTATTATAGGCCAGAACCAGCTGTTTGCTCCAATGAAAGATTGCTAGCTGCAGTCTTTCATTTTTATAATAGTACTGAAAATTCCCATGGAAGTTTTATTTGTACCTCCCTCCATAAATCTAATTTTCCTTTCACGAAGTGATGGCTTTGAGCAAGCAGGGTATCCTAAAGACATAGAAAGGGCCATGGAAGATGAGAAGTAAGCCAAGAGTAATTTAAAGTTTGCATCAATGTGAAATATAAAATCCATCTCAAAGGGAAGAGGACTCTGTGAGTCATAAAGACTAACCCACAGCTATTCTATTAATAATCTGAATTGATGCCATAAGCATTCCAAAGCCGTATTTGAAGTACAATTGTTTTGAAGAAACATGTGTTACCAAGTATGAGAAAGATAAAATGGTTCGGAAGATAGCAAAACTAAGATTTTTGTAGGCAATCCAGAAATAAAGAAGGAGAAAAAGAGAATATGGCTGGACAAATAAACAAAACTTCAAAACTTATTTAGTTTCAGAAAATTTGTACAGCTATAAAAACAACATCCCAATGAAGATTGTTAGCAGATAGGGAAACACTGACTTTGACAACAGGAATTTTCCATTTCAAATAAGGGGAAATACTGTATTTTTTCCATGTTGATTGAAAGAAGAATAAAAATACTTTTACTCACATTCTGAGAAGGGCCTTATAAAATGGTCGTGTGAAGAAAGCATCTAACAAATACTGGTGTATCAGTGCAAGGCCAAGGATTCGACCACTAAACCTGAACCTGAACAAGAAAAATAGGAAACAAATCACATGACCTGGGTTAGTGGATTATTAAATGGTTCTACATGACCACAAGGAGTTCATGTATATCCTAGACTAACCAGGTCTACATTAGGCTAAAAATTCACATCTTAAACTCTGAGTCAAATTTGTTGGGCTTCGTTATCTTTGTAATTTGAGTAGCTAGGTGGTTCAGTGGATGGAGTGCTAGGCCTGGAGTCAGGAAGACCCAAGTTCAAATCCAGCCTCAGACACTTACTAGCTGTGTGATCCTGGATGAGTCACTAACCTGTTTGCCTCAGCTTCCTCATCTATAAAATGGGGATAATAATAGCACCTACATCCCAGGGTTGTTGCGAGAACCCAATGAAATAATGATTTTAAAGTGCTAAGTACGGTGTTTGGCTCATAGCAAGTGCCGTATAAATGTTACCTATTACTAACAGCCAAAGATTTTGTAGTATGAATAATATTCTGCATGCACCACCTGTTTGGCCAATATGAGCTGCTCACTGTCATTTGTGAGAAATCCCTAAGGGCTACCACTTGAGGTATAAAGCAGTGCACACTGGTAGCCAACGGTGGGCAAAGTGTTACTGATTTTGCTTCCACTTTGTTTGGATTGATGCTAGTGGTATTTCCCTTGTATCTACCACCAACTCATTTTCTGTCACTCTGGTATACAACTAAATATCTTACTTTGCAGAACTTCCCCTTTTTTCTCTTTCCCTCCTCCCTAATTCTGATAGTTGTCCTCTCAACGCTCAGGGCAATGAAAATCTCTGCCTCTGGAAGTTTTTGGGGTTTCCCAGAGACAATGTACTATCTTCTAAACATCTCAAGGCACAATTCATTCTGATTCATTTTGGAAACTTTCTTGAAAATAACATATTATTCACCTAGATGATTAAAATGCATACCCCTACATTTCTCTTTATTTTGAGAGTAATGATGCTTCTAGTAGTTGAAGCTGATGGCTTCCCTAAGTCAGTCTCTCGAGCAGCAGCAGATATGAGACATACTAAGAGCTACAGTTTGTCCCTTCTTGTTTCTTCCACCAATGCCAGATTCCTCCCACCAAATGTCTGTTAGATAGCAGTGATTCCATTGCAAATGGTAGCTAAAAAGTTAGGGTGAAAGTTGAACATATTAACCTCTAAGTCATAATTAGATTTTTCCTCAAGATACTGGCAAGAAAAGAGGGGCATGAATATGTCTCCGTATATGACTAAATCATATTTTAGTCACTTGTACCCAGTGCAAAACAAACAGGCACTCTCAAAAATAGGTGCTTTGAAATTTTTTAATGTCCATGAGTAAAGGGATTTGGGAAAAAATTTACTTGAAATTAAATAATTTAAATAAAAAATAAGCTTAACTTGAATTATCATAAAAAGATCTCATCTTTTTATTTTAAAGATTTTATGAAAAATCAGTAGGTAGGCAGTCCTCAATTTAGCAACTGTGGATTTAAAAGTGAGTAATAATATGACTAGCTATTCCTACTGCATTCTTTTCCATCATTAATGCCTTTTTTGCTGGTGCCCTCTCACCAACCTTGGACCCTCCCCTCTGTGCCTAGAGTCCTCTTTCCCCCTGTATCTTACTTAGCCAGATAAAGAATTCCTAATGACTCTGCTTCTCCCCTACTTTGCCTGACCATTAGTAAGTAAACTTCCTGAGGGCAGGGACTATCTTTTGCTTTTTTTTTTTTTTGCATCCCCAGGGCTTAACATATGCCTGATACAGTAGGCACTTAATAACTGTTTATTAATTATTGACAACCACAGCTGCAGATGCTGGACCAGCTCTAATCCCTTGGCTGAGACTTTCCCAGATGCTGCCCTATAGATTCTGCGTAGGGTAACCTAATATACTTCTTTCTGACCTCTTCAAGGTTGAAGAAATACAGAAGAACTCAGCATTAGCAATTGTACTTTTTTTTTTTTAACCAGACCAGATTTCATCAGGGTGGTGAACTTCTGGTGAGAAATTTCCTCTGCCAGTGCAGACTGGCACCTCCTCTGTAACATACAGTCTTCGGGAATTATCAGGAAGAACAGAGACAATCAATGACTTCTCCAGGGTCACAGAGTCAGTAGGTGTCAGAAAAAGACCTTGAATACAAGTCTTCTTGACTCCCAGGCTAACTCTACCTGCCAAGCCATGCTGTTTTCAGTTTTTGTATTATATTGAGTAGCTAATGGCTTAAATAAGCTTTTTTTTTTTTACTTTTTGGTGAAGCAATTGGGGATAAGTGACTTGCCCAGGGTCACACAACTAGTAAAGTGTCCAGTGTCTGAGGCCAAATTTGAACTCAGGTCCTCCTGACTCTAAAGCTGGATCTCTATCCACTGTACCACCTAGCTGCCCCTTAAATAAGCTTTTGTGAGCTAGCCTGGGAAATTTGTCATAATTTATAACATGTTTTTTTTTTCCCACAGATAATGTGTTCTATGTTCCATGTAACCTATTTAAAAATTGGCTTATGAAAAAAATAATGATTCACCATATTGGAGACTGTCTATATATTTAAAAGCAACCACAAAAGAATCAAATGAACTTTCTAAGCAAAACTGTGGTTTTAGTCAAGAATTAAAGTGGATAGCTATATTTGAAAAAAAATCACAGCATATGCATAACCTAGTGTTAGAGAAAAATAATTAGAGGAAAGCACAATTCCCAAAACCCCACCATCTTACCATTCATGGTGATTGTCTACAAAAGCAGACATGGGACTTATTTGTACTGTGTATGTATCATTAGCTGAATATTCAAATAAGCCATAATATGGATTAAAGAGTTCTCTGGATACCAGGAAGAAAAACTCTCTAGAAGGTCCACTGTAATCCAGCCTATAAAAACAAACAAAAAATTAGGTTTTTTTTTCCACCCAATGCTATATGTAGCAAGTGTATTTTACATAGTTCATCATCACCAAGACGTCAAGATTAATTACCTACTAAGTGACCCAAAGCGAGTTAAGTCACTCTAATAAGAATTATAAAAGATTTATGAAACAGCTGTTCTTCTAGTTCTCAAATGTTGAACTTGAAACAATGGTGCAGATAGATGTAAAAAATATAGAAAACAAGGAATTGTTAAATAACAGAACTGTTAAACAAGAGAAACTACACACTGGTGATTTCATTAACATTATATGCAAAAGCTCTTTAATAATAAAATGTATTATTCATGAAGATAGTATGGCTGGAAAATGGCACTGGCCAGGTAGAGAATGAGCATTAAAGACAATAGATGGCCTTGATACTACCCTTGTGCCCCCATGAAATTAAGAGAATTAGAAAAGGATTTTTTTTTGTGGGGGTAGGCAATGGGGTTAAGTGACTTGCCCAGGGTCACCCAGCTAGTAAGTGTTATTTGTCTGAGGCCGGATTTGAACTCATGTCCTCCTGAATCCCCAGGGCCAGTGCTCTATCCATTGTGCCACCTAGCTGCTCCTAGAAAAGGCTTTCTAAGCATATTGGGGGAGGACCTTCTATGTAGGACTGATGGCACCTCCCAGGATGAGATGGTGTGACAGGATTGTGATCCTTATGTTCAGAGGGAACACACATTAATGAAGGCGTGGATTTATTAGAATATGTGAAGACTTGAAGTTAATAAAGTACATGATGTAGAATTGTGAGAAGTGGGGGAAGAGAAGGAGGTCATGGAAATTGGTTGTTTAGAAAAAATGGCGGAGGAGATTTTCAGCCTCTCTCCAGTTATTCAGGAAGGGCATCCTGGAACACTTATGATTCTAGGACAATAGACTTAGAGCTGGAAAGGACCTATGAGATGACCTAGTCCAAACCTCTCATTTTATAGATGAGAAAACTGAGGCTTGGGAGGGAGTGACTTGCCTAAGGGCAAAAAGATAGTAAGAGTGGCAGAATTGAAATTTAAACTGAGGTCTCTTAATTCCAACTCCAGTGTGATTTCTACTACACCATGCTAGATTTCAGAAACTTCCCACCCACAATGGAATGAAGTGCTTCTTTTGCCATGCGCTCACTGCTTTCTTGACTGAAGGAAGAGAGAGAGGGCTTGCCAAATGGCCAAATGGGAATTTCAGAGGCAAAAGTTACCCTGAGAAGATGCTCAAAGCAGAAATGGAATGTTTGGATTCAAGTGATCAAGGTTTAAAGTAAATTAGAGGAGATAAGGTTAGAGATAGCCTGGGGATTAGAAAGAGACAAGGAAGATGAGGAAGTCTTAGGCTATCGCCTAATAAGTGTTTTTGAAGTGGAGGATGAATATCTTGAACTTGATCCATAACATTGTATTAGAACATCTATGAGAGTCACATGGAATTTAGGAGAAGATTTTGGCAGACTTAGGATGACATTGCTGAATTCAAAGGGGTAAGTGAAGAGATCATAATGGTCTGAATGAAACAATCAGAGTCTGTTATGGCTGAAGTTGTAGGGCTGGAGGAGAAAATGAGGATTGAAGTATATTAATGCCATTCAAGAAGTAAGCTATGGCACCATTTAAAAAAGTAGTCAGAGGCCTCATTTAGAAATTCACTGTGGCACTCCTAGGAAAGAGGAAAGCCTGTGGTAGGAAGATAAGCAGAAGAGTGCCATTCACTTCATTCATTTTATTTATTATAAATCTCCATTTCTTGGATTAGGTTACTTCAAGAAAATGAAAAAGGATTCAGAAAATCATCAGATAAAGAGAAAAAAAGTACAATCATATATACTCTTATGTCTAATGTATTTTCTGGATCAAGTCTCTGCGTGTGGTGTTGCTTTGGAGGCTACACACAGTTGAGTTTAACAGACATGGTCCCTGCTTTCAAGGATCTGGAGATATCACTTATAGGACATAGATAGCTGAACATGAAGAAAACGTATAAATGCTACAACAATTTATGCAATATTGTCTGTACAACAGGAGGGTAACCTGTAAAGTGAAGCCATTTATTTCCTGCTTAATATTTAGCTGTCACATCAGAAGCTCATTACTCTTTGACTTTATTCTGGTAGCATCTTCACTCCATGAAAGAAGTTTTTGTTGCTTTCTGAAGAAAAAAATGAACATCGTTTGCATTTTTATTAGGAATCTTACAGAGTATTACGCAGAGTAAGTATGTAGATGCTCAAAAAAAGGTTGGCTGAACAAATCAGTGAAGGAATGAGTGGGATTACAATTTTCCTTGAGGAACTATACAAGCTCAGCAGTAAGATGTGTTTATGCTACTCACCACTGACCCAAGAAAAAGAAAACAAACAATATTTTGCAGAAATCTCATAAGTAGAATATTCCTTAAAAGTCTAGTGCTTTGTAATATTCAAATAAACTGTTTAAAATGTTGAAAATATTGTCATTCTTAGATAGAGACTGGCCTCTCTGTTTTGCTTCTTTACTGAGTTCAGGGCATAAATAAGATTAATACTCTCATATGGGGCAAAATAAAAAGGAACAGATTTTTCTCCCCTAGAGAAAACCAACCTAACCATTAACAGTTCAACCAAGATGAACCAGCCTTCTTCATGGGGCAATTTTTCATCCATCCATTTCTTAATTCTGGAATTAGTCACAGATTCTCACTAAGGTCAATACTTAGTTGGTAAGCAAGTTGTGTTTAATTGTGTTTTACATCCTAAATCTACACAAAACTTAAGAGCAATCTGAAGAGCAAGATGCTTACTGCAGCATATTTAACTGAACAAAACATGTCAGAGCAGCACTCCATCCAGGATATTTCTGTCATTTCTCAACAGCATCTTTTATACAAAGAGTTAATATGACTCATATCAGATGGATCATTTGTTGCATTCCTGTTCTGCCAGTCGGGTTGGTTCCATGGCTAAAGCCTTGGCACAGAAATTCAGAAGCTCGTTACAGCAGGCATGTAGCCACAGAACAGCTGCAATGAAGAGCATTTCAGTATCCAAATGCAGATGTCCTATGGTAGCAGTGTGGTTTAAGTTCTGGGAAGTGTTATTCAGGCATTTGCCTAACATCACTGTAGTACTATGCTGTTTGACATACCACACAAGCTGTGGGGGCTCTGGTATGAGTTGATGCATTTTTTTTCAACTAAGAATCACTGAAAATGGAACATTCACGTGACAAATGCAAAGGAAATGATGTAACAACAACAACAAAAAACCAAAACCTCAACCCCTGAAAATCATTTCCTGGATGATGGCTTTAAGATAGAAAGATAGCTCTTCAGCTGTCCTGTATGTCAGTTTGGAGATACACTGTTGCTGAGTTTACCCTGTCACAGTTATAAAAGCAAGCTATTAATTATTGAATTATCTAAGAAGGCCTAGCAGATTACCGTGTCTTTGTGTTAGAAAGCTTCCTTGCTAACAACGGTCTAGACCCATTTATACCAAATCAGAGCTGGGAACACACACACATTCATCTTTCCTCATCAGGATTTGAATTATTTAGGCATCCGGTGGGTAGATACTTTAGCCAAGGTAAATGCTGAAGAAAACAATAAGTCAGCCTGCCATTCCTTGGTTTAAAACTGATAGTACTGAAGGGGATTACAGTGGGATTTCATAGCCTTTTGTTTAGGAGGGGCTGTGTAGGACAATGATTCTCTGATGCTCATTCTCTCTCTCTCTCTCTCTCTCTGGTTTAATAGTACTTCATTTTTTTCCCTCAGTTACATGTCAAGAAAACTTTTAGTATTCATTTTTACGATATTTTGAGTTTCAAATTTTTCTCCATCCCTTCCTCCCTTCCCCTATTCTGAAAATGGTAGACAGTTTGATATAGTTTATACATGTGCTATCATGTAAAAATATTTCCATATTACTCACAGTTATGAAAGAAGAAATAGATCAAAAGAAACAAATTAGAAAGAATAAAGTAAGTGAAAAAGGTATGCTCCATTCTTCATTCAGAGTCCATCAGTTCTTTATCTGGATGTGGGTAACCTTTTCCTTCATGAGTCCTTTGTGTTTGTCTTGGATCATTGTGTTGCTGTGAAGAACTGAGTCATTCATAGTTGACCATCACACAATGTTGATACTATGTACAATGTTCACCTGGTTCTGCTCCTTTCGCTTTGCATCAGTTCATACACGTCTTTTCAAGATTTTCTGAAACCTGCCTGTTCATCATTTCTTATAGCTGAATAGTATTCCATTACATTTATATGCCACAGCTTGTTCAGCCATTCCCAATTGATGGGCATCTCCTCAATATTTTCCAATATTTTGCCACCACCAAAAGGGCTGCTGTAAATATTTTTGCACATGTAAGTCCTTTTCCCTTTTTTATGATCTCTTCGGGATACAAACCTAGTGGTGGTATTTCTGGATCAAAGGGTATGCACAGTTTGGTTGCCCTTTGGGCATAGTTCCAAATTGCTCTCCAGAGTGGTTGGATCAGTTTGCAACTCCACTAACAGTGCATCAATGTCCCAATTTTCCCACATCCTCTCCAACATGATACTATCTTTTTGTGACCCTGGGCTACTCACTAAACTTCTCTGAGCCTCAGTTTCCTCACTTGGAAAATGGGGATAACAATATCTGCAATGCCTATTTCTTTGGAAAGCTATGACAGATAAGATCTTAGGATCATAGATCTAGAATGGTAAGGGACCATAAAGTCAAATTTAGCCCACAAGCATTTATTAAGCACTTACTATATGCTAACACTGTGCTAAATCCTGGGGTTATCTTCGTTTACCCTCTTACTTTACAGATGAAGAAACTGAGGGATGTTGCTAGGATTAAATTTCATAATGCATGTGAAGCATTTCACAAACTTTACAATGTGATATAAATATCAGCTATTACCATGAGATGATAGCTAATATGAATAATGTTAATAATAATTCATTAATATAGAATATGCAGCATGGCATAATAAT